AAAAAATAGAGTATTGAGTGTAAAAATACGCGGTACTTCCATGTCCACGGATTATTGGGATAAACTGTATATACATTGGAAAGGTTAGGTCTCATAGATGGCGTTGTAATCACCCGTATGCTTATATGTATATGCTCATATAGGCAGCTCCAGCTATGATACCTTTTCAAAGTACGTATAGTAAATAGACTAACCGCTCACCGCTGTGACAAGTTAATGACGTAAACTTGTTTGCTGGGTGCGCGATGATAATGCAACCTAGGGGATGTATTTCTGTAAAATAACAAACGTTTAGTCAATTTGTGGCTAGAAACAATTTGAATGTCAAACTGACAATTCCCTTTGTACCTTTGTCACAGATTTTCCCAGGTCTCAGTTGACCCCACAAATATCACCTGGTTAGCTACAAAAGCCTATTTTCTCATTTGATCCCGGGGACAAAATTTGCTACTAGGGCCAGTCAAAAAGAAGGGCTTGCAACCTCTTCGCAGATTCGAAAAATCGAAATACGCGGACCCCCGATAATCCGGCCCCTGTCTAATCCGGCGCGCCCTGTAATCCGACATGTCTTTGAATATGTATTACACACATAAGTATTTGACAATCTTCGCTAATGTATATCACGCAGGTTTGAACAGGTTACAACTTGTACGCGCCACCGCTATCGTGCCCGACGCGTAAGCATTGTTTTACTTAGTTTGAATTTGATTACTTGTGATAGCGGTACGGCCTAGCGTGCGTTCATTGTTTACTAATTATTCATTGTGTATTAAGTATAGTACCTGGTAATGTCATCACAAACTCAGAAGCGAAAGCACAAAACATTGACAATTAAAGAAAAATGTGATATTTTAGACCGCTTAAATTGCAATGAAACTTTCAGTAGTTTAGCAAGTGAATACGGCGTAGGCCGATCTACAATTTATGGCATTAAAAGAAACCACGAGAAGATCAAGAAGTACGTGTCAACTACTGACTGCGGGCCAGGCAAGAGACAGACACTCAAGAAAGCTGAACATCCAGAAGTGGAAGAAGCTTTGTACATGTGGTTTCTTCAGGAAAGAAATAGGCATGCGCCAATTTCAGGACCCATGTTGGCCATGAAAGCTAAGTTTTTTTATAAGGAAATAACAAAAAAAGATGATTTTGTAGCCAGCAAAGGATGGCTAGAACGTTTTAAAAGTCGTCATGGCATACGTTTAATGACTATTACAGGAGAGAAACTTTCTAACGATGCCACCTGCATAGAGCCCTTTAAATTAAGATTTTTGCAAAAGGTGAACGATTTGAATCTTGACCCGTCACAGGTGTACAATGTAGACGAATCAGAGCTTTTTGGCGTGTGATGCCTAACAAAACTGTCGTTTCTTGTAACGAAAAATCCGTACCTGGACGAAAAGTAAGTAAAGAGCGTGTAACCATACTACCATGTGCTAACGCAGCGGGCACACACGCGCTTAAGATGATGGTCATTGGGAAATCTAATAAACCACGGGCATTCAAAAACATTGATTTACCTGTACACTATTATGGACAAAAAGTGCATGGATGACAAAAAACCTTCTCAAAAAGTGGTTTGATGAATGCTTCGTACCTGAAGTTAGAAAATGGTTAAAAGATCATAATTTTCCTCAAAAAGCGTTGTTGCTTCTTGATAACGCTCCCGGTCATCCATCTGAAGAAGAACTAACAACTGAGGATAAATGCATCACTGCGATGTTTCTTCCGCCAAATTGCACTACACTGATTCAACCAATGGACCAGAATATCATTCAGTTTGTCAAGCAAGACTATAAGAAAAACCTACTTCTGAGAGCCGTATCAAAAGACCAACCAATAGAAAAAACTTTAAAAGAATTTAATATGAAAGACTTGGTTTTTGTTCTTTGTCAGTCGTGGAATGCGTTACCGTCATCAACTATTAAATCGTCTTGGAAAAAGTTATGGCCAGATATAGTCACCACTCCTAGCAACGATCCACAAATCAGTGTTACTTCGGAAGTTATAGAACAAGTCGCTACTAAAACACAGATAAGTCCGGAAGATTTGGATATCTGGTACCGTGGAATGGATAAAGAGGAAAATGTTTTTCATGAAATGTCTGACGACGGGATTATAAAAGAGGTTTCTAATTTTTTAAGAACTTTTACTTTTGAGAAGACTGAGGGACAAAGCTCGCGTTATAACAACCTTAAACAAACAAACAAAAAATGATGAATATTTCCAAGCTTCATAATTTGATAAATTCATTAATGATTTTGATTAATAATTCTTGATTATTTTGGTACATATGTATGTGCATTTATGCTTAATTTTATAATAAAACGTAAGCTCTCTATTGTTATTTAATTTACTAAATTCGACATACATAAACTATGTATGATTTGTACTTCAAAGTACATACATATACATAACATATATAATCTTACCATTGGATATGTAATTTGTCGGATTACAAGGTAACTCTTTTGTAAAAAATTCCGGACTATAGGGGGTCTTAGGCAGTGCTCTATAATCCGACAAATTCGATAGTCCGACACTGCCCTGCATAATGTTTGTTGGATTACCGAAGGTCCACTGTAGGAATAATCTCGTAAGACGAAGCATGAAAAGTTGTTTTCTCCTTAGACTCTCTGTCTGCTCTACAATATATTAACAAAGAAACGCCCATACCTTTACTTCAAAAACGTCTTCTGATTGGTTGCATGTCGATTCCTGCAGCTAAAAATTGGACTATTCGAGAATATGAAATCTTGAAATAATTGAAAGAGACTTGAGGGATGATCTTTTATTGGAAGGCTGATAATAATAATAATAATAATAGACGTCTTTATTTATCCACAATTACATTGTAGTATAGCCAAATGTCACACTTATATGGCGAAGTTTAGCATGCTGCTACTCTTACACTTAACCATATAGTCTCTAGCAGATGTTCAAAAGAATACACTATCCATAAACAGATTTGGTCCATTACATCGAAAGTAAAATTTAGAAAAAGAGAAAAAGGCATACTTTCCAAACCCAAATGCACCAACAAATTATTAATCTGAATTAAAGATGAAATAAAAAAGAACTGAATGATTACGTAAATTATATGTTTGGAGGGTTGAGTAATAATCTTTTAACTTTTTGTCGAAAGACAGGTAATGAAAATTCTTTATATACTTTAGGAAGGTCATTATAAATAATAGCAACACTGTAAGAAAAACTGCGTTTAAAAAGTGTAGACGTATGCAGGGGTATTCTAATATTATTTTCTCTGAGAGTTCTACAGTGAACATCATTATTAAATGAAATTTTTTCCTTCAAGTAATAAGGTTTAGACGTGAGCAGCAATTTGTGAACAAAAACTGAATAGTGATACTTGACCATGTCATTAATTTTTAACCAGTTTTACGCAACTTAAAATTTAGTAAATACCTGTTTGCTATAAGAGTCCGCAACCGTAGGTAGGTTTTCTGAGATAGACTTTTAACATGTTCAGTAAACCTTAATTTTCAAAAACAACACCAAGAATTTTTGCAGACTCAGAAAATTGCAAAATTTGGTTATTTATCTGAATGTTCAAGAGCTGTGTTACATTGTATGTTTTTCTTTGTGCGCAAAATAATAACATTTTAGATTTTTGTGGATTAATAAGTAGATTGTGATCTAAAGAGTATTTAATTAATTTATTAACATCGTTTTGTAAAATTTGAGTAGTATTATTGACATTATTTGGGTTAAAATAATGGAGCAATTGCGTATCGTCTGCAAATGACTGGACATGAGAATTGTCAATACTTTTGCTTAAGTCGAATGTATATATGAGGAACAGAAGCGGCCCCAATACAGAGCCCTGAGGTACGCCTGAGGGAACTTTTGTCACTTGAGACATTTCTTGATTGAGAAAAACACACTGAGTTCTTTGATGAAGGTAACTGTCGAAAAATGAAAGGGATACACTGTCAAGACCTATGTAATTTAATTTATCAAGTAATAATTTATGATTGATGCTGTCAAAGGCTTTCGAATAGTCTATAGAGATTAAGGCTAGTGCCATTTCCTTATCTAAGGCACTTAAAATATTGTCTTGCAGATTAAGTAGGGCAGATGTTGTACTATAATTTTTTCTAAAACCGGATTGAGTGTCGGGAAGTATAAAGAATTTTTCTAGGTAAGCGGTCAATTGGAACTTTATAATTTTTTCTAAAATTTTGGATAAAATTGGTAATAAATTGATAGGTCTGAGATGGGTTTCATTTTTTTAGGAATTGGAATAATTAGAGCTTGTTTCCATGTGTTTGGAAAGTAGCTTTTTTCCAAACAGTCGTTAAAGATGTGGACGATGTGATGGAGAATTACTGGCAGGCAAAGCTGGATCATTGACAGGGATATACCATCAATTCCCTTTGCATCAGATTTTAGGCTCCCTATTGCCTGTAATACGTCATTTGAACTAATCTTATTCAATGAAAAAATATATTCAGAGCTTAACTTATTTTTGAAATAGTTTTCGGAAACTAGTGAATCAGCAGGTTTATAGCTACAAACAGACATAAAATAATCATTAATTTTGGTAGGGTCATTTAAACTTGCCGGAAGGGTTGGTTTACTACGAAAATTTATATCAAGTTGTTTGGGAGACTTCCACAATTTTTTTGAATCATTTTCATTTGCCAAATTTTCGATATATGTCTTTTTGTCCCTCCTGATCATGTTAAGAGCACGGTTTCTAAGCGATTTGAAGTTATTATAGGCGTCCACTGTCTTATTAGTTTTATATAAAGCTTGTGCAGTATTCTTTTCATCAAGAACAGTGCGCAGTTCATTTGTTAAGAATAAACAATTTTCTCTAAAAGTAAAATGGAGTCTACTTTTATTATTTCTAAGGGAAACTGCTATAGGAGAGGTATATAAAATATTTTCGTAGGAATTTGTAGCATCTTTTGAGTTTTATGTTAACCATCATACATATTCTGGAACGTTTTGTGAAATGATATATTTGGGATGATCAGCAGGTGGTCCAGGTACAACCCAGCCCCCAGCAAGTTCAACAGCAGCAATATGTCCGTCTCTTGGACCCTAACCAACAGCAACAACGGCCCAGGAATTTAACAGTACCATTGCCACAGGTACGATTTTTTAAGATTAAGATAATATTGGATACATGTTGCTTAGATTCAACCGCTTGAAGCATTAGATTTATATCATTAAGGTCCATATAACGGGTGATTTTTTAAGAGGTATAGGATTTGATTTTAAAAAAAAACACAAAAAATTTGAAAAAACGATTAAATCTTTATTTGAGTCGATAGAACGGTCGATATAATTTAGTGTTTAAAGATTATTTCATGTAAATGTTAGCCGCGGCTCCGCTTTAGATGGCCCATGCGCAAGGTCCAATTTTGGCACACTCTCTCCAACATATCGGCCCTTATCTAACGAATAAATGCTTCAATATTGGCTTCCAGTGCGTCAATCGTTGCTAGTTTATCCCTGTAGACATTAGCCTTAACATGGCCCCACAAGAAATAGTCCGACGGCGTTAAATCACACGATCTAGGCGGCCAATTGACGGGTCCCAAACGTGAGATAAACTGTTCACCGAACTCGCCTCTCAATAGGGCCATTGTTTCGTGTGCCTTGTGGCATGTGGCACCGTCTTGTTGAAACCACATGTCAGCCAAGTCCAGCTCTTCCATTTTGGGCAAAAAAAGTTTATCATCGCACGGTAGCGCTCGCCATTCACAGTTACGTTCCGGCCATTGTCGTCTTTGAAGAAATACGGCCCGATGATGCCACCGGCCCGTAATCCACACCAAACAGTGATTTTTTCGGGATGCATTGGTTGCTCTTGCAATGTTTCTGGCTGGTCTTCACTCCAGATGCGTCAATTTTGCTTGTTAACGTACCCATTCATCCAGAAATGAGCGTCGTCGCTGAACACAATTTTTCGAGAAAAAAGTGGATCTTCCTCCAACTTTGCCAGCGCCCATTCACCAAATTGGAAACGTTGTGAGAGGTCGTGGGGCTTCAATTCTTGCACCAGCTGTATCTTATAAGGTTTTACACCCAAGTCCTGTCGCAAATTGCCCATAAATTGGAAGCAGTGCTCGATGCACTCTCTTAACCGAGCATGAATTTTGATAGTAAAATTCAATAATTTGCAATCGTTGTTCGTTCGTACGTCGATTCATGGTTAAATTATACACCAAACTGAACAAGTTTGACAATGACATAAGACACGATTCACGCGTCATCTGTCAAAAACAGTGTTGCCAAAAAGATACTAGCAAAAAAATCACCCATTACATAGGTGTCTCTTAAGGTTTAAGGCGGCCATTTCAATTCGAGGCCTCCTTATATCAAGGCTCCTTATTTCACTACTTTCCTCGATATAAGGTCTTAGATTTAATAGTTGCTGGCATTGTTATATACTAAGTGACATATAAATCCGAACACCCAGTTTAAATTGTTTTATTTTAATAAAAGTTGGTGAATGTATTTATCTTACTGTAAATAACAAGTGAAAAAATTTTCAGCCTTATCAGTTGGACATTCCGGTTTTTATACTGCTTTTTTTTAATTCACTAACGCTCTAAAAATAAATATTTCAGCTGCAGTAAAGAATCAACGTTGGCGGATTTTGGTTCTTGACATCCTTTACGATCGGTTACGATGCCTAGAGTACTGAAACCTGTACGATTTCGTCAACTTAGTGAGTTTGATAGAAGGCCGTACGCAAAGAGCAAGGGGCACTGGACGCCGCCGTAGAACAACAGACCGTGAAGATCGCCGCCTAAGATTATTGGCCTTAAGGGACCGTTTCTCCACTACCAGGTCCATTGCAAATGAATGGTTTGCAGAACACGGAAGACCTATTGGTATGCGAAGTGTTTACCGACGAATGAGAAGTTTTGGCTTGTTTTCATACCGGCCACACTGGGTTCTCCCTTTAACTCGAGAACACCGACGTAATCGCCTTGAGTGCTGCAGACAACGGTCACTCTGGGATCAGGAATGGAACAGTATTGTCTTTAGTGACGAGTCTCGATTTTGTTTAGGCATGCACGATGGTCGTGCCAGGGTTAGAAGGCGACGTGGTGAAAGGAGGAATCCACAGTTTTTTGTTGAAAGACATGTTCATCACACTGTTGGAGTTATGGTTTGGGGTGCTATAGCTTATGGTTCCAGGTCACCTTTAATCTTCATCAGAGGTAACATGAACGCGCAGCGTTATATCCACGAAGTTCTAGAACCCCATCTTTTACCCTATCTTGACACCCTGGCAGATCCAACTTTCCAACAAGATAATGCCCGACCACATGTTGCAAGACTCACAATAGACTTCTTTCAGCATAATGATGTCACATTGTTACCATGGCCACCAAGATCTCCCGACTTATCCCCAATTGGAGAATGCGTAGCACATCAGGGTGCATCCACACATTATTAAAGGTCAAAGGGCTTTAAAGCAGTGCAATCATTTTGAAATTTTTATCATTTACTTATTATGCTTCATTAAGTACTTATACAAAATTTTATTAAAATAAAACCATCTAAACTGGGTGTTCGGATTTATAAGTCTCTTAGTATATTTTCAAAATCACTTATGAAATCTTCCAGAAAGTTCACGATTGCTACTTTTTCCCAGATATTCTATAACTTTACCAAAATTTCGACCAATCAATTACACATTTTTTTGGTCTAGCGATTTTTATTATCTGTAGCATGTCTTGTAGATGAGAACGTACACACATTTCTGAAAACATTTTTAATTATCATTTTACGTTACGTTTCTACAAAAATCCTTCACACGCCTCTATTTCTAGCGCTAAATGCAAAATAGTCGTCTTAGATTGTTAAATTTTTACTTTCTAGGCCAGTGGCGAAGAAATATTTTCGTTATTCCTTGACCCGCCTGTAACTTGGAAAGTACGGCTGGGATTTTGCTGAAATTTTCACACAAGGTTACTTTTGTGCCAAGGATAAAAAGTTTTATAATAGTCATTGCAAATTGGTCCAGTGGCGGCGAAGCTAGGGGCTAAACCGAAAAAAAATAGTAATTGCTAAAACTGCGTGCTTTGCTCATGATCCTTTTTTGGTGGGGTTTTAAAGCGGTTGAAAATTGTGGATTTTGGGAGTGAAGGAGGGAATATCTCAGTTTTTTGGCGGTAGCAGGTTTGCTGCATCAGTGCTTTAGGGAACGAATTTCTTGTGATAATTGAAAAGCGGGTCTATTGATCATGATTCACCCTCTCTATGGATCCGCCTTTGTTGTGACCAAACACAAGTAATATCTTTTAGTTAATTAACGGACTACACTACAGTAAACCTCCAATTTCCTTTATGGCCTTTACCGCCCCCTGTAGATCCCCAGCACCCACAAGGGATTATCGTTCCCTTTATGAAAAATTGCTTTAAGCCATCAACTACCACAAGTTCCTTCCTACAGGTGCGCTTCCCTTCCCAATACCAACACCCCGCTCTGAACCAACTGCAGTTGGTGCGGCAGCCCCAACTGCAGCAATCCGAGCCTGTCCAACCCATTTTGCAGCCCGCACAGCCGCCACCACCCAATGTCTACCAGCATCTGTTTGGAAGGCAACAGCTGTTCTTCCAGGACCCGAATCAACCAGGAGGGTTCCCTGGGCAGTACGGATACAACTATATTCATGATAAGCAGAGGCAGCCGGGGGTATATGGCAGGTAAGTTAGGTTATGTTTCCTGCGATGTACGGAGTCTGTAAATTAAGTGATGAGACTTATTTTTTCCAATTTTCTCATTCAAAAACAGGACAGAACAGGAATGTTTTTACTGGCCAAAAATTCGTTTATTGACATTGCTGTGTGGCAATGAGCATTATCGTGATGCAATATCCAGTTGCTCTTGATCTGATGAACGGTGGTGTGAGTCAAATTTAACTCTTCCCCAACTGTCAACGGACGATCTGAACGCTGAAGATCCCGGATTCTATCGATAGTTTCTTCGGTTCTTGGAGGTGAAGGGCTTCCGCTTCGTGGTTCATCTTCAATCGACTTTCTCCCTTCTGAAAATGCCTTAAACTACCAAAAAGCCTGGACTCTTGACAAAACACTGTGTCCGTAGGCCTCTATAGCAAGATTTTTCGTTGCAGTGTGCCTAAGTCTGCAGAAAAACTTGATAGTACACCGTTGCTTGAAAATGGTCACTCATTTTTAGAACACAATAGAAACAACTGTTTCACAATAAAAAATCGCTAAGGACAACCAAATAACTCGAGCGGGTTCAAACGTGTACTGAAGGCGGATCACATGTTCTCCTGTCTCACCTCTAAGCCCGGCGCCTCCAGTGTTGTCAGATCGAACGCTAAAAAGTGAAGAATATTACGTTGTTCATGCAATACACTTTTCGTATACTGAGTGTCTCAGAAAAGTGCTATCGGATAAAGTTGTATCTTATGAATCGAGTAGAGAAAATCATAGGTCGTTTTTTTCTGATTCAAAATATATATGGTCTATCATACATATTTTCATTAAGATCCTAATGTTTGTGTGTCATTTACTCATAATGTGTATCAGAACCACTTTGCATCTAGCCGCCTGTGCAATTTGGTACAGGACGAATACATACAATTAAGTGACACACAAACTTTAACTTTTTGACTAAAGTAATGAAAATAACTTTCACAAACCATGTATATTTGGAATCAGAAAAAATAAATATATCATTTTCACTGAAAAGATACACTGTTAAGAAAATATAACTTTATTCTATAGCACTTTTCTAAGATGACAAAAAATGTTACATGAACAACTTTTAGACCCTATAACCTTTATATACAATTTTTTTCTAGAAGACCATATGAAAAGTTAGAGGAGGTTCAATTTATAGCCTGTACACTAAACCAATCAAATATAAATTGTAAACCTTTAGTGAATCTTTGAACTGCTGTAACTTGTTAAAAATATGGTCTAAGAGAAGCTTTTCAATGCTACAAAAGTCTAGTTTTTGGATCTTTCAGTGAACACTTTTTTGTAGCTGAAGGTTCTACGCAATCTATGGAAACAGTGTCATGGAGAAATTGCGTTTTTAACTGAAAAACTTGTTTCCGCTTAACCATCTAACCTTTAACTATCACAGCAGTGAAGTTATAAGCAATGCGTATCGCACATATGGCTGTATTCTCCGAAATTGTAGAAAATTCAATATCACAATGCTTATAAGTTACTTTCAATGCTTGTTATATGTTAAATAAATTATATGGAGCCCTATCTATGAACTTTACAAAAGCAATATTGAAAAACTGCAAAAGAAATATCTGAAGCATATATGCTATAGGAGTGATGGCCCATCCTCCACGATATGACTAATTACACTGACCAACAGCCAAAAAATATCCTAAATAAAATCAACAAAATATTACTATTTTTAATGTGCTAAAACCGGAATGAAACTTATTTTTTCAATATTAGTTCAAGTTTTAGAGATACGGTAATTATATGTGTTCCTCCTGTGACAGTATTAATATACTGTAATTCACAAGAATGCACGTGCTACATTTTTATATTCGGCAAGGAAAGATGATGTAATCGGCATGATTGTGTTACGTTATACATACGTGTACATTATATTGTTTTATATTAGCCATTTTTTCCTCAGTTGGCTGACAGCGTTCATGCAAGCTGTCTCGAAAGTGTGTAAACATCCAGATCAGTTTTGTTACGTGTGTGGTGATGTGACTTTTGCGTCTCAGAGACGGTCTATTACTCCACTAATAACAAAGGCATATCAGCTTTATTTCGGTTGTAAACTAGGTGATCAAGACAAACAGTGGGCACCCCACATCTGCTGTAATACATGTGCTTCAAGTCTGAGGAGCTGGTTAAATGGCACAAAACGGTCTATGCGCTTTGCTGTCCCAATGGTTTGGAGAGAGCCTACAAATCATATTAATGTTTGTTACTTTTGCATGGTACCTTGTGTTGGACAAGCCACAGGTATGCTCAAGAAAAAAAAATCGGTTATTAACTACCCAAACATACCATCTGCGATGAGACCCGTGCCTCACAGTGACGAAAATCCTATTCCAAAACCCCCAGAATCCTACACTTGCGAATCAGATCATGGCGATCGAGTGATTCGTCAGGAAGAACATATGCCATCAACGTCAAGAGATCCTGATTTTATACCGAGCACGTCATGCCACCAACCGCACAAAATAACACAGTCAGAATTAAATGATCTTGTAAGAGATTTAGAACTTCCAAAATGTAAGGCAGAGTTACTTGGATCAAGACTGCAGCAGTGGAACTTGTTAGAAGACGATGTTTCGGTATGTGTTTTTCGTAAACGCCACAAAGACTTAGAACCATTTTTCAATATGGAGAATAACTTGGTTTTCTGCAGTAACATTAACGGCTTACTGGCGGCTTTAAATATAAACTATAACCCAGAAGAATGGAGATTGTTTATAGACAGTTCAACATTGAGTTTAAAGGCAGTGTTATTGCATATTGGAAATATTTTACCATCACTTCCTGTAGGGTATGCAGTTCACATGAAAGAATCATATGACAATATGAAGTACCTATTGACATGCATAAAATATGATGAGCACCAATGGCATATTTGTGGCGATTTGAAAGTTATTGCACTTTTACTTGGGCTGCAGCTAGGCTACACAAAGTTTTGCTGTTTTTTGTGTGAATGGGACAGTCGGGCAAAGGCACTTCATTACACCAGACAAAACTGGCCTGTTCGTCAATTCCTAGAGCCAGGTCAAAAAAATGTACAGCATATGCCATTAGTAGATTCGAAAAAAAAATTATTACCACCACTGAATATCAAGTTGGGCCTAATGAAAAACTTTGTCAAGGCATTAGATAGAGATGGGTCAGCTTTTCAATACCTGCGTCAGAAATTTCCAAGACTAAGTGAGGCAAAGGTTAAAGAAGGTATTTTTGTTGGGCCACAGATTCGAAATATTTTGAAAGATACACAGTTTGAAAACACTTTAACAGGTATTGAAAAAACTGCTTGGAATGATTTCCGTCTGGTGGTCACTAATTTCTTGGGAAATAGAAAAGCTGACAACTATAAAACCCTTGTCAAAAATATGCTGTCATCGTATCAAAAGATGGGCTGTAATATGTCTCTTAAGATACATTTCCTACACTCACACCTGGACTTTTTTCCTGGCAATTGCGGAGCCGTAAGTGATGAGCACGGCGAACGTTTTCATCAGGATATTTCAACAATGGAAAAAAGGTACCAGGGAAAGTGGAATCCTTCCATGCTTGCAGACTACAGTTGGACTCTTGGTAGAGATGCTCCAAAAACGATCCATAAAAGAACAGCAAAAAGACAGCGCATATAGTGATTCTCATAAGTATATTAATCTTGTTACTTTTTTTAATATATCCTTAAAAATAAAAACTTTTTTTTCTAAACCACAAATAATTTTTTTATTTCATTGTCATTTTTGGATTCAGCGCCCCAAAATTAACAAAGAAGTGCACTTTTCCCACAAGATACAATTAAAAAACTAAAATTTGTTGTCCAGTGTTATTATTATTGAATATATTTGGTGTCCCACCTTTGGACAAGCGCCTATCTCTTTTTTTTTTGTTTTTTTTTCACTTTATGGCACACAGACTATGTAAATTAAATCATTGCAGCTCTCTAAATGGTATGTGTACCGTTGGGCAATAAATGCTTTATTATTATTAAGCCTTTGTATGGACATAATAGCCTGTTTATTCAGCTTCAATTTACTATTTGCGAAACCTTGATACAAGTATCTTTTGCGGAGATATCAAATTTTTTATGAAGGACCTTTTTGGCTTCGATCATCAATATCTCAGGAAATCATCGTACAGAAAATGTAAGAGTGGTGTCATGCAGCTTCTAAGAGGATAAATGATCATTTATGGAAAAACAATTTTTCCATCCCTCAGATAGGCTGCAAAAAGAGACATGATGTTTTTTGGAAAACCAAGGGCTAAATTGCAAATATTGACCGATTGGCTAATGTTGAGCTCCATATAGCCACAATAGTAAAGTTTCACTTTGATCTATCAAGACTTTTTTTTGTTGTGAAAAATCGTAGATTTTTTTTATTCCACGTTTTTCTCACAAAAGTATCACATTTTTTCCCATAAATTTGAACCATAACCTTATATAAAATATTCATACTTTTGTGTGAAAGCCGAGAAGCCAAATCTTAGCTATCTAGCTAGCTTTTTTCTCAGTGGGGCCAACTTGTGCAGAACATAATCCTTTACGAACTGGTCACAGAACTGCGTAGGAAATTAGGAAAAATTTTTTGTTGAAAAAAATAGTTTTTGGTTTTATTTGGATCTCAATTTTGGGAGGTAGCATTGTTTTATCAAATCATTCGAATTTACCACTCAGTATTTCTTTCAGGCAATAAACACTATTGTCTTCCTGCATTCTTTTGACTTAAATGAATGTTACACCACCTATATTGAAAATTATCCAAATATCCCAGGCTACAGAGAAAAAAATAGGTATTTTGTATAAAAAAGTTTGGCAGATATCTGAAAGTTTTTAATGACAAATACATAAAAATATATGCGTTTTTTTTATAAACAATGGAAAAAACTCAAAATTCAGTATTTTACTTGTATAATTGTCAAATTAAATTTTACAAATAACACTGATCAACAGCCAAAAAATATCCTAAATAAAATCAACAAAATATTAC